GACAAAGTCCGCACCTCCGCTCAGAAAGCGAATAGAAACCTGTTCTCCAATCTTCACCGCTACACTCGGACAGCCAAGGGAAACGTTGTCATCCTCTCGGAACTTCTCGGACAGTCACCGCCAACTCAACCAAAACCAAAGTCTGCACCTCTGCTCAGAAAGCGAACGGAACCTGTTCTCCAATCTTCACCGCTGCGCTCGGACAGCCAAGGGAAACGTTGTCATCCTCTCGGAAGCTTCTCGGACAGTCACCTCCAACTCAACCAAAGACAAAGTCCGCACCTCCGCTCAGAAAGCGAATAGAAACCTGTTATCCAATCTTCACCGCTACACTCGGACAGCCAAGGGAAACCTTGTCATCCTCTCGGAAGCTTCTCGGACAGTCACCGCCAACTCAACCAAAACCAAAGTCCGCACCTCTGCTCAGAAAGCGAACGGAACCTGTTCTCCAATCTTCACCGCTGCGCTCGGACAGCCAAGGGAAACGTTGTCATCCTCTCGGAAGCTTCTTGGACAGTCACCTCAGCATCAGCAAAACAAAGTCCGCACCTGCGCTCAGAAAGCGAAGGAACCTGTTCTCCAATCTTCACCGCTCGCTCGAGCCAAGGAAAGCATTGTCATCCTCTAAAGCTTCTCGGACAGTCACCTCCAACTCAACCAAAGACAAAGTCCGCACCTCCGCTCAGAAAGCGAATAGAAACCTGTTATCCAATCTTCACCGCTGCACTCGGACAGCCAAGGGAAACGTTGTCATCCTCTCGGAAGCTTCTCGGACTGTCACCTCCAACTCAACCAAAACCAAAGTCCGCACCTCTGTTCAGAAAGCGAACGGAACCTGTTATCCAATCTTCACCGCTGCGCTCGGACAGCCAAGGGAAACGTTGTCATCCTCTCCAAAGCTTCTCGGACAGTCACCGCCAGCTCAACGACAAAAAAAGTCCGCACGTGTGCTCAAAAAGCGAACGGAACCTGTTCTCCAATCTTCACCGCTGCACTCGGACAGCCAAGGGAAACGTTGTCATCCTCTCGGAAGCTTCTCGGACTGTCACCTCCAACTCAACCAAAGACAAAGTCCGCACCTCCGCTCAGAAAGCGAACGGAACCTGTTCTCCAATCTTCACCGCTGCACTCGGACAGCCAAGGGAAACGTTGTCATCCTCTCGGAAGCTTCTCGGACAGTCCCCTCCAACTCAACCACAAACAAAGTCCTCACTTCGGCTCAGAAAGCGAATAGAAACCTGTTATCCCATCTTCACCGCTGCACTCGGACAGCCAAGGGAAACGTTGTCATCCTCTTAGAAGCTTCTCGGACAGTCACCTCCAACTCAACCAAACACAAAGGCCGCACCTCCCTTCAGAAAGCGAACGGAACCTGTTCTCCAATCTTCACCGCTGCGCTCGGACAGCCAAGGGAAACGTTGTCATCCTCTCAGAAGCTTCTCGGACAGTCACCTCCAACTCAAACAAAAACAAAGTCCGCACCTCCGCTCAGAAAGCGAACGGAACCTGTTCTCCAATCTTCACCGCTGCGCTCGGACAGCCAAGGGAAGCGTTGTCATCCTCTCGGAAGCTTCTCGGACAGTCACCTCCAACTCAACCAAAGACAAAGTCCGCACCTTCGCTCAGAAAGCGAACGGAACCTGTTCTCCAATCTTCACCGCTGCACTCGGACAGCCAAGGGAAACGTTGTCATCCTCTCGGAAGCTTCTCGCACAGTCACCTCCAACTCAACCAAAAACAAAGTCCGCACCTCCGCTCAGAAAGCGAACGGAACCTGTTCTCCAATCTTCACCGCTGCGCTCGGACAGCCAAGGGAAGCGTTGTCATCCTCTTGGAGGTTTCTCGGACAGTCACCTCCAACTCAACCAAAAGTCCGCACCTCTGTTCAGAAAGCGAATAGAAACCTGTTCTCCAATCTTCACCGCTGCACTCGGACAGCCAAGGGAAACGTTGTCATCCTCTTAGAAGCTTCTCGGACAGTCACCTCCAACTCAACCAAAAACAAAGGCCGCACCTCCGCTCAGAAAGCGAACGGAACCTGTTCTCCAATCTTCACCGCTGCGCTCGGACAGCCAAGGGAAGCGTTGTCATCCTCTCGGAAGCTTCTCGGACAGTCACCTCCAACTCAACCAAAGACAAAGTCCGCACCTCCGCTCAGAAAGCGAACGGAACCTGTTATCCCATCTTCACCGCTGCACTCGGACAGCCAAGGGAAACGTTGTCATCCTCTTAGAAGCTTCTCGGACAGTCACCTCCAACTCAACCAAACACAAAGTCCGCACCTCCGCTCAGAAAGCGAACGGAACCCGTTCTCCAATCTTCACCGCTGCGCTCGGACAGCCAAGGGAAACGTTGTCATCCTCTCGGAAGCTTCTCGGACAGTCACCTCCAACTCAACCACAACCAAAGTCCGCACCTCTGTTCAGAAAGCGAACGGAACCTGTTCTCCAATCTTCACCGCTGCACTCGGACAGCCAAGGGAAACGTTGTCATCCTCTCAGAAGCTTCTCGGACAGTCACCTCCAACTCAACCAAAGACAAAGTCCGCACCTCCGCTCAGAAAGCGAATAGAAACCTGTTCTCCAATCTTCACCGCTACACTCGGACAGCCAAGGGAAACGTTGTCATCCTCTCGGAACTTCTCGGACAGTCACCGCCAACTCAACCAAAACCAAAGTCTGCACCTCTGCTCAGAAAGCGAACGGAACCTGTTCTCCAATCTTCACCGCTGCGCTCGGACAGCCAAGGGAAACGTTGTCATCCTCTCGGAAGCTTCTCGGACAGTCACCTCCGACTCAACCAAAACCAAAGTCCGCACCTCCGCACAGAAAGCGAATAGAAACCTGTTCTCCAATCTTCACCGCTGCACTCGGACAGCCAAGGGAAACGTTGTCATCCTCTCAAAAGCTTCTCGGACAGTCACCTCCAACTCAACCAAAGACAAAGTCCGCACCTCCGCTCAGAAAGCGAATAGAAACCTGTTATCCAATCTTCACCGCTGCACTCGGACAGCCAAGGGAAACGTTGTCATCCTCTCGGAAGCTTCTCGCACAGTCCCCTCCAACTCAACCACAAACAAAGTCCTCACCTCCGCTCAGAAAGCGAATAGAAACCTGTTATCCAATCTTCACCGCTGCGCTCGGACAGCCAAGGGAAACGTTGTCATCCTTTCGGAAGCTTCTCGGACAGTCACCTCCAACTCAACCAAAACCAAAGTCCGCACCTCTGTTCAGAAAGCGAACGGAAACCTGTTATCCAATCTTCACCGCTGGACTCGGACAGCCAAGGGAAACCTTGTCATCCTCTCGGAAGCTTCTCGGACAGTCACCTCCAACTCAACCAAAGACAAAGTCCGCACCTCCGTTCACAAAGCGAACGGAACCTGTTCTCCAATCTTCACCGCTGCGCTCGGACAGCCAAGGGAAACCTTGTCATCCTCTCGGAAGCTTCTCGGACAGTCACCTCCAACTCAACCAAAAGTCCGCACCTCTGTTCAGAAAGCGAATAGAAACCTGTTCTCCAATCTTCACCGCTGCGCTCGGACAGCCAAGGGAAACGTTGTCATCCTCTTAGAAGCTTCTCGGACAGTCACCTCCAACTCAACCAAAGACAAAGTCCGCACCTCCCATCAGAAAGCGAACGGAACCTGTTCTCCAATCTTCACCGCTGCGCTCGGACAGCCAAGGGAAGCGTTGTCATCCTCTCGGAAGCTTCTCGGACAGTCACCTCCAACTCAACCAAAGACAAAGTCCGCACCTCCGCTCAGAAAGCGAACGGAACCTGTTCTCCAATCTTCACCGCTGCACTCGGACAGCCAAGGGAAACGTTGTCATCCTCTCGGAAGCTTCTCGGACAGTCACCTCCAACTCAACCAAAACCAAAGTCCGCACCTCTGTTCAGAAAGCGAACGGAACCTGTTCTCCAATCTTCACCGTCTGCACTGGACAGCTACAAAGTCATGTTTACCCTCAGAAGCTCGCTTCACCACCTCCAACCAAAGACAAAGTCCGCACTCCGCTCAGAAAGCGAACAGAAACCTGTTATCCAATCTTCACTGCAGCCAAGCAGCCATGGGAAACGTTGCTTCATCCCTCTCTCTGGAAGCTTCTCGGACAGTCACCTCCAACTCAACCAAAAAAACAAAGTCCGCACCTCTGTTCAGAAAGCGAACGGAACCTGTTCTCCAATCTTCACCACATACTGGATAACATGGGAAACGTTGTCATCCTCCTCGGGAGTTTCTGACGACCTCCAACTCAACCCAAGACAAAGTCCGCACCTTCGCCTCAGAAAGCGGCTAGAAACTCATTCAATCTTCACCACAGCACTGATGCTTACGCAGGCACGCTCTTATGACTCGCCAACTTCTGACAGTCACCTCCAACTCAACCACAAACAAAGTCCTCACCTCCGCTCAGAAAGCGAATAGAAACCTGTTCTCCAATCTTCACCGCTGCACTCGGACAGCCAAGGGAAACGTTGTCATCCTCTCGGAAGCTTCTCGGACAGTCCCCTCCAACTCTACCACAAACAAAGTCCTCACCTCCGCTCAGAAAGCGAATAGAAACCTGTTATCCAATCTTCACCGCTGCGCTCGGACAGCCAAGGGAAACGTTGTCATCCTCTCGGAAGCTTCTCGGACGGTCACCGCCAACTCAACGACAAAAAAAGTCCGCACCTCTGCTCAAAAAGCGAACGGAACCTGTTCTCCAATCTTCACCGCTACACTCGGACAGCCAAGGGAAACGTTGTCATCCTCTCAGAAGCTTCTCGGACAGTCCCCTCCAACTCAACCACAAACAAAGTCTTCACTTCCGCTCAGAAAGCGAATAGAAACCTGTTATCCAATCTTCACCGCTGCGCTCGGACAGCCAAGGGAAACCTTGTCATCCTCTCGGAAGCTTCTCGGACAGTCACCTCCAACTCAACCAAAAACAAAGTCCGCACCTCCGCTCAGAAAGCGAACGGAACCTGTTCTCCAATCTTCACCGCTGCGCTCGGACAGCCAAGGGAAACGTTGTCATCCTCTCGGAAGCTTCTCGGACTGTCACCTCCAACTCAACCAAAACCAAAGTCCTCACCTCCGCTCAGAAAGCGAATAGAAACCTGTTATCCAATCTTCACCGCTGCACTCGGACAGCCAAGGGAAACGTTGTCATCCTCTCGGAAGCTTCTCGGACAGTCACCTCCAACTCAACCAAAGACAAAGTCCGCACCTTCGCTCAGAAAGCGAACGGAACCTGTTCTCAATCTTCACCGCTGCACTCGGACAGCCAAGGGAAACGTTGTCATCCTCTCGGAAGCTTCTCGGACAGTCACCTCCAACTCAACCAAAACCAAAGTCCGCACCTCTGTTCAGAAAGCGAACGGAACCTGTTATCCAATCTTCACCGCTGCACTCGGACAGCCAAGGGAAACGTTGTCATCCTCTCGGAAGCTTCTCGGACAGTCACCGCCAACTCAACGACAAAAAGCGTCCGCACCTCTGTTCAGAAAGCGAACGGAACCTGTTCTCCAATCTTCACCGCTGCACTCGGACAGCCAAGGAAAACGTTGTCATCCTCTCAGAAGCTTCTCGGACAATCACCTCCAACTCCACCAAAAACAAAGTCCGCACCTCCGCTCAGAAAGCGAATAGAAACCTGTTATCCAATCTTCACCGCTGCACTCGGACAGCCAAGGGAAACGTTGTCATCCTCTCGGAAGCTTCTCGGACAGTCCCCTCCAACTCAACCACAAACAAAGTCCTCACTTCCGCTCAGAAAGCGAACGGAACCTGTTCTCCAATCTTCACCGCTGCGCTCGGACAGCCAAGGGAAACGTTGTCATCCTCTCAGAAGCTTTTCGGACAGTCACCTCCAACTCAACCAAAGACAAAGTCCGCACCTCAAATCAGAAAGCGAATCGGAACCTGTTGTCCAATCTTCACCGCTGCACTCGGACAGCCAAGGGAAACGTTGTCATCCTCTCGGAAGCTTCTCGGACAGTCACCTTTGCAACTCCGTTCAGAAAGCGAAACGGAACCTGCTATCCAATCTTCACCACTGCACTCGGACAGCCAAGGGAAGCGTTGTCATCCCCTCAGAATGCTCCGGAGATTCAACGCCGACTCAACCACAAACCAAGTCCTGCACCTCGTGAATTGGGCGTCTCTCGCAAGAATCCAAGGGAGTCGCCGGGAAAGGATGATACACTGCGGGTCACTCACGTTTCCACACAGTTGCGGAGACATCAGGACAATCCCTCTGAGGGCCGCGCTCCAGGGGTGCATCTTCATCCAGCCCCTCCAGCAAATGCATCCTGAGCCCGGCCAAAAGGGATCCCTGTAGTGCCCCTTTGCACATGACCAAACGGACCCCACAAATGGGAACCAAGCCGCGAGAGCCAAGTTCCTTCAGTGAAACATTTCAAGTCGTTTGAAGGGGCAGCTCAGGCACTGACCCAAGTGTTCCCTGCAACGAACACAACATGGGTTAACATTGATACCCATGTCATCACCCCGGAAATTAAACATCTTGAACCTGAGTCAATGGAGCGGGAGAGATGTCAAGTATCCTCTGAAAGATCGGAACAAATGGGCCAAACTCATGAGACTGGGGGCGGGGGCGTCGGATAGGGCAACATCTTCGTAGTCAAAGGACCAGAAGGCGCAGCAAAAAAAAAAACTTCCACGTCGACTGCTTGGTCTTATCTCTTCCAATGCTTGGCATATTGAGCCAGCTTCGCTTCTTGCAGCCTCCCAAAACGAACAGAACCAAAACATAAGCGTAGATTTCAAACAGCACAGGCGACTTCACCCAAATGGCTCATTGTTCTGCAGCGAGACTCCGCGAGTCGGAAAGCATGATACAGCAACAAGGAGCCATGCACTACAAAGAGCGCCCTACTGAGTTCCGCGATGATACCACGGCCACATCTGGAGCTACGAAGAAGCACAAACAACGTCCTGATGAATTCAGCGGTATCATGAGAACTTTGACAGCACCATGATGATGATACCACAGCCACAAACCAGTACGCGCGACATCCTTGCAAAGCCAACTCCTAATGAATTCAGTAGCACAGCTACGAACCACTGTGCACTACATAAAAGCATCGACAGCGTGCTGGTGAATCCAGCAGCATCAGGATAATCTTGACGACATCATGATGACACCACAGCCACAAACCGCTATGCGTAACATTTGCCCTAATAAATGCAGCAGCATCACGATGATGCCACTGCCACAGCCACAAATCGTTGAGCGCTGCATGTAAGCACAAACAGCACCCGAATGAGTTCAGCGGCGTCATGGTAACTTTGGCAGCATCATGATTCATGATTGTACCACGGCCACAAACCAGCACGCGCTGCAAAAAAGCATCGTTAGCGCGGTCATGAATTCAGCAGTACCATGATGACAGCATGATGATGGTACCACTGCCACAAAAAAATGAGGCGCTAAACAAAAGTACAGGCAGCAGGCAGCGTCCTAATGAGTTCAGCGGCATCAGAATCATTTTGACAGCACCATGATGATACCAAACAATGATGGACGCATCACAGGCACCGCAACAGCACCAAGACCAGCACCCGCAACAGCACCCTGACTGCGGCGCCAAACAAAGCACCGCCGGAAACTAGCACCGCACCTTGAGCACACCAAACAGCATCCCAACACACACCAGAAAAAGCAGCCGGACTGCGTCGCAAAACAAGCACCACCAGCAACCGCGGCACCTTCAGCACACCACACACCAAACAGCACCCTGACCAGAACTCACAGCAGCGACTTGACCAGCAACCACAGCATCTAAGATGCATCGCAAAACAAGCACCACCAGCAGACACCACAGCACTTTAAGCGCACAAAAGCACCCAAAACAGCACCGGACCAGCAACTGCCACCGCACCTGGAGCAAACCAAACAGCACCCTGACCGCAGCCCCGTGAGCAGCACCCTGAATCCAGCACCACACAAGCGTCGCCGGCAACCACCACCACCGCCACCACCACCACCACCACCACCGCCACACCCCCAGAACCTCAATCACGCAAACAGCACCCCGACCAGCACCCAAAACAGCACCCCGACCGGCACCCTGACCGGCACCCTGACCACCTGATCAGTACCCTGATAAGCACCCTGACTGCACCGCCAGTAAACACCGTAGCAACACATTAAGCACACAAACAGCACCCTGACTAGCAGCCAAATCATGGCCAAACAAGCACTACACAAACAGCACCCGTACCAGCACCCACAACCAGGACCGGAACAGAACCCTGACCAGCACCGAAAACATCACCAAACCAAACAGGCACTGCCAGTAACCACCACCGCAGAACCCTAAGCACGCAAACAGCACCCTGACGAGCACCCAAAACAGCACCCTGACTAGCAGCTGCCGCACCCACCTGGCCCGATTTCCCAAAACACACTTTGCGTCTTTAGAAGTAAGAACAAACGGCTAAACGTCAAGAACGGTGAAGTCGATTGAGCCGCTCGCAGTACAAGCCATTGGCGGTGCTCGTTCAATGGCGTTCGACCGCGAGCCCCAGACCTGCAACCTCCTATTTGGACTTGCCGGTTCTCAGCAGGCAATGAAGTGACGACCCATGATGTTGACCCCGGATTCATAAACCCCTGACCACACCCCCCAACCGGCTCCACACCCCCCGGCTCCACACACCCCACCCCTCCACCCCCGCCCCCCACCCCACGCCCCCGCCCCTCCCTTGCCCCCACCCCCCCCCCCCGGCCCTCGCCCCCCAAACGCCCACGTTTGGCGCCCGGGCGACAGCGGCAGGTCGCCCTGCTCGATGGGCTCCAGCTGGAGGCCTGCGGAGCGACGGCCGAAAGTTGCGGAACATGCTTTGGTGCGCGAATGTTGACCCCAAAATGAATAAACTCATGCTTTATTTGCAGGGGGGAGGGATTATAAGCTGTGATTTTTTTGAATGTTGACCCTAATTTCTAAAGAAAAAACAACTCACAAAGTGATGATTGTTTGCAAGGGGGTGTTTGTTGCTTATTTACTTGCTGTTTTGGTTTATGTGTAGTGTTCTATGTTTTTGTTTTTTTTGACCCCAAATTAATAAACGCGTGGTTGATTTACAGTTCGTTTTAAATGTTGACCCCAAATGAATAAACTCATGCTTTATTTGCAGGGGGGAGGGAATTTTAGGGGGTGCATTTTCTAATGTTGACTCCCAAAAAATATACCCGTGGTTTATTTGCAGGGGTGTTTTCCCCCAAAGTGAGGATTCCCCACTAAACCCTGGAACACCCCAATCATAATAAACTGGGGTTGATGAATATGGCCCATATGGTATCAACGTTGATGTTGACCCCAGATTCATAAACCCATGGTTGATTAATTTTAATAGGGTGTCTCATTTAGTGGGGCTTGGAGGGAACATTCCCCTAATGAGAGGACGGGCGGATGAATCCGAGGTCAACATGTCATCAAGACTTCCTGGTGCCAATTTCAGCTCCCTATAGGAAAGAAGCAACATTGGATACCAGCTCCAAACCAGCTCCCTTTCAACCACCTGGCGCATCGCAATGATAGAGATACGAGGTTCGTGGGAAATACAGACGTCAAACCAAAATGCTAAAACGCCAAGGAGCCAATCAAATGACATCCAAGGACAATCGGTGTAGAGGCGACTTGTTTGAAGCTTATTTGCGATCGAGTGGATTGGCCAACACAAAAATCCAAAGTTGTGGTTCGCCACTTGTGTTTGGTCTTCCCAAAAAGTTCAAAAGGTCAATCAACTCGGGGACAAGAAGTCCTGGCACAGCTCAAGAATTAGGCCGTGAGGGTGAAACAGGTGACCATAAGATTTGAAAACAAAACAACTGCGGCGGTATTTAGAGGTAAGAAAAAAACATTCAGCTTGCTGGTGCTCAGCAAGCAGGGAATGAGGGAATGCCCCCAATAAACCATCCCCTGTGGTTTCCTTTAAGGGAATCCCCTGGTTCATTCCCTCATTCCCTGCCTATCGCACCGGCAAGTCATTCCCCAGTACTCAACATGGAAATCGCAGAACTGTCCCCAGTACTCTGCTCATCTATAAGCCTTGGGATTTGAAGCTGTTCTTTCTCCAGTGGCAGATGCTACCAAACCTTGACCCAAGAGATATCCCGATCGCTCCGACCGCCATGAGGTGTCTTCAGCTTGCGCCAAGCCCCACCCCCGCCCCGCTCCTGGGTGCAGGCCGATGAACTGTTGAAACACCTCGCATTCGGCCGGCTCGAATCTCGCGGCTGCGACTTCTCAGCGGCAAGGGCATGGATCGCTTCCGCACGCTTAGCTAATCAGGGCCCCCCAAAAACCGCCCAAAAGAAATTGGAAGCCTATTGGCCATCGACCTTCAACCCCGCCCTACCCCCAGCGCACGTCTTTGAAGACGTGCATTGAGGAATCTCCCGCGCTCGGCGCTCGGGTCCCCGCGTCCTGGAAATTCTCCAGGGCGTTCTTGTCGTCATCGTGGACCTACTCCCAGCGGCTGAAACGCGCGGCTTCGCGTGACTACTTAAAGGGGCGATCGCTTCGGTTCAGATAAGTAGTTGGCCTAGACTTATAACCCACTGAACGGAGACTTATAACCATGTGTCGGTCACCATGGTTCTTATCCACTTACTAAGCACCCTGCCCCTTTAAGTAGTGTTCAAAGGGAGTTGCGCATATGCATGTTTCTTGCTAGGGTAAGTAGCAGGGCCAAGTTGCCGTGTTCATTACCACGCTCAAACAACACGATTGTTTAAGCACCCTCCTATTGGTATCAACGACTTTTTGTGGGGTCAGCCTATTTTGACACATGGCTGTGGGTCAAAAATAAATGGACACATGGACTAAAACCTGCGGTCCAATTCCTGGTGGTTTAATTTTGACCCACACCCACATCGCCATACATTATGTATATTCCTTCAGGACCGGGTTGGCTCTGTCCGGTTTTCCAGCGCGGGCTTTTGCACAGGGTTGGAGGTTGTCGTCCCTTCAAACTTGCCTAGGGCCCGGTTCCTACCATTGCGGAACCCTGATCTGTAACCCAGGTTTGCGGAATCCAGGGCATCCAAAAGGACAGCCAGAGCCATGGTGTACTACTTGGATGTTCGCCCATAGCAAGTACTCAGCCACTTGGGCTACCCACGGGGGTACTCTATCAACAACTTGATGGGTGTGTTGGTGTGTGTGTGTGTGTGTTTTTTTTTTTCTGAGGCTCGGTACCCCTGTTTGGTGGGCTCAAAGGGGAACCGAGAGGAAAACCGCCCTTTTCCTCCAATAACTTAGCCAAGACATCTGTGGCTGGAAAAAGGGGGGGAAAAAAAAAACGTGGCTTTCCTTATGCAAACCTCGCTCCAGTTTTTAGCTGCACGGCCCTGTATCAATCTCTCTCTCCCGCCCGGACTGGTTTGGCGCTGGCACTTGTTGAGCTTTGCGTAACAGCCCAACGACCACCCCTTTTACATTGGGGTTGGTGAAAACATCCAGCCCTGCGCAGGAATGCATTTTTTTGGAATCGCCCCCCCCCCAAAAAAAAAAAAACACCTTCAATTTTGATTCTACGATGTGGAGTTTTTTGGGGTCCTTTTTTCACCCCGCCCCCAAAAAAACACCCCTTTAATCACCTCCGACCCAAAACACCCCTTCTCCAGACAAAGTGGGGGTGAAAAAGGGCTGATGTGCTTTGGGTCGGAGGTTGGCCCGAAGCCTTATCACAGTTACCGCACTGACCCTTGCAAGGGCGAGATATGCTATGGTCTAGGGGTAACTTCCCCATTCTTTCCAGGGATCCGTCCTTCTAGAAAACCCCCAAAAACCCTGGGGAAACGTGGTTTTTGCAAAGAACGATGGCTGCAAAGAATGGTTGGAATCAACCCCTAGAGCTTGGGTGAACCTCGCACGAACGTGCGGCCAGGCAAGTGACCTTTGACGTTGACTCTTGGTGCTGTCTGTGCAGACTTTGGCGATTGCTTCTGCCAACTTGGCTACAAGGCTTGCATGGGCCTTGCTATGCCCCCATGAAAGCAGTGTAGAAGCGCCTGATAGAGCAGCCCATGGTTTTGGACACTGCTCATCCAGCGGTTTCCAGATTTATTTACTTATTTATTATTATTATTATTATTATTATTATTATTATTATTATTATTATTATTATTATCATTATTATTATTATTACTATTATTATTACTATTACGATTACGATTATTATTATTATTATTTTTATTATTATTATTATTATTATTATTATTATTATTATTATTATTATTATTATTATTATTATTATTATTATTATTATTATTATTATTATTATTATTATTATTATTTATTATTATTATTATTATTATTATTATTATTATTATTATTATTATTATTATTATTATTATTATTATTATTATTATTATTATTATATTATTATTATTATTATTATATTATTATTATTATTATTATTATTATTATTATTATTATTATTATTATTATTATTATTTATTATTATTATTAATTATTATTATTATTATTATTATTATTATTATTATTATTATTATTATTATTATTATTATTATTATTACTATTATTATTATTATTATTACTATTATTATTATTATTATTACTATTATTATTATTATTATTATTATTATTATTATTATTATTATTATTATTATTATTATTATTATTATTATTATTATTATTATTAGTATTATTATTATTATTATTATTATTATTATTATTATTATTATTATTATTATTATTATTATTATTATTATTATTATTATTATTATTATTATTATTATTATTATTATTATTATTATTATGATTATGATTATGATTATTATTATTATTATTATTATTATTATTATTATTATTATTATTATTATTATTATTATTATTATTATTACTATTATTACTACTATTATTACTATTATTATTATTATTATTATTGTTATTATTATTATTATTTATATAGATATATAAGAGAGTGTACATCCTCAAAACAAGGCCAGAGAAACACGTCAAACCATCCATTTGCATGGGGTCCTGACATGGTGTTTGTCCAAAGCAAAAAACCCGAAACATATTGGTTTTCCTGCTGGCTGCCCTTTGCAGCAACCATAAGAAAGGTACCCTCAAAAGGCACAAGCCCATGTCAAACCTAGGGGTCCCTTGATAACTCATAATTGTCGGATTCGCGGAGTTTGTGCTGGATGCCCAAATGGGCTTGTCAAACTGACGTGTTTCCTTTTTGGTGTCTGTCCCTTTAAACTACCTACAAGAGCGGCCCGTTTTGAGAAACCCCCAAATGAGTCAGAATCGAAACCTGGTCTAAACTAGGGGTGTTTTGTTGAGGGTACCCTGTTTGTTTGGCTTAAAAGGACAGAAACTAACCATTTTTAATGGGTCCCCTTTAATTAGAAGAATTACCCGAACCCAAAGCCAAGACTTCAAGTCGAGCGCTTCCTGCCGTGGAGCTCCCTGTCACATGCAACCTTCCTTGAAAAGGGTTATGTCATATATATATATATATTATTGGGGCTCGTCCTCTTACCATAGTTATGATCCACGAGAACCTAGCGCGAACATCCAAAAAAAAAAAGAAGAAGAAAACTGGGTAATCTCCCCAGATGCCCAGTGGTCATGAGAAAAAAAAGAGCATCCTTTTTGGTTGGCGGATTCTCAAAGCAATCGGAAGCCTTCCCAACAAAAAGTTGGAAACAAGGGGGCGGAAGCCTTCCCGGCCACCGGGTCTCCCTGTGGCTCCCCGGCCAGAAAAAGGCGACCCTCAAAAAATACAGACCAAAACTCGGTTGCGAAATCTGCTCCCCTGCTAAAGGTTTAACTTTTAGTGGTTCAATACGGCAAACCCATTAGTTGGCAAAAAGTGATTCAGTCCTAACATCCAAGCACAATGCGCCAAAGGAAAAAAAAAAAAACATGGGCGGTGGGACCCCACTTTTGGCTCTCAAACCCAAAAGCAAGGCGGCTTTTTTTAAGATCAGCACACCAAAAACGGCGGCCCTGAAAAACCTCCCCCGCGGCGCTTTTTTTTCGCCTTGAGCTCCTCGAAGTTAAAGACGATGCCCACCGAGGTGAGCCGCTTCGCGTCCTGAGACGATGCCACCGTCGGCAACCGAGGCCGTCCACGTTGGGCCCCTTCAAGACAAGGCGAAATGAGGGCCCACGGCGAATCCTCGAGCCAACTCCTCTCATATGTTGGAGGGGTTGCAAAGGTAAGCCAAGCCTTAAAACCCATATGGCCATGGGTCAAAATCCAAACCCCGGTTTTTCCAACCACGACAAAATAGGTTCTATATGGGTGGTGAATTCACCTACCAACCAAAATGGGATCCAAAACGGTTTTGACCCACAGCCATATGTTCGCGAGCCGGGCAACCAAAACTCCGGGACGGTTGGTTTTGCTGGGCTTCCCGATTTTCGCGCAAAGGAACCGGCATAGAATCTGGAATTCGCCGGGTGTCCCTACTTCCCCCAGAAAAGATCGGGGTAGCTGGCACCGCCTGAAAAACCCGTGTGTTCAGTGTCGATCTAAGCTTCGTAAGGCCAACTGATGAAAAATCGCCGGCCCCTCCCGCTCCCCTCGGCTCCCTCTCCTGGAGCTTGCAGAGCATGACCCCCACCTGCTGCAAGGACCGCCTGGTCACAATGGCGTGGTTCTGCACCTCAGCCAAACACAACGGCGTCGAAGGACGCGTGCCAACCAGTGATGCAGTGATGGCGGCGATTTTTTTCAACCGCGAGCACTTCTGCCGAAATCCAGGGTTGGACCGAGCCCAAACGTTGAAGCATAAACGCTTGAACAACTCTTGAAACAACATCCTGGTGTTCCTTGAAAAGGCACCCAAATGCATTGCATTGACTCCCTTGCCACAAAACCACAAAATATTTCAGGGCCGGTCTGAGCACTCTAAAGGCACGCGGGTCGAACGCTCCTTTGTGATATTTCTCACATCCGCCCTTTTGGCAAAGTGGCGAGAGAATGCTGCCAGTCGGACGGTTCTCAAAATGGTTGTGGCTCAAAAAACCAGTACCAAAATGGAACCCTGGTAAGTGGAAATTTGGACCAAAACCTGCGTAACCCCTCCTGTTTAATTTTGAGCCACACCCAAATGTTTGGAACCCCTTCAGGTGGTTGAATTCCTTTTGGTTTCCTCTTCATCCAAAAGGAAAATATACATTTTGAGAAGCATTGGAACTTGACAGGCCGCGATTGAAACCTTGAACTGTGAAGCTCACGCATCGTGCGCTTTCCCGACAGCCTCCTTTCGTCTCCTTTTGGATGGGTTTTACACGAAAACAAAAGGAAACTGCCACTGGAGTCCTTGTCAAGTCTGGAGAAAACCCCTCTGCAATTCTGTGTACTGGCTTCATGAAAGTGACCCAAGTGAGTGGACAGTGAAAAGGAACCGTGAGCATTTCAAACTTCCGAACCCCTGACATGAAAAAACGAAAACAAAGTCCCCCCCCCCACCGGCAATTCCAAGGCCTTAGTTGGGGTGCGCAGAAAAGTATGTGGCTGTGGATGTTGTCCAAGAGTTGGTTTACGGGTGCCAAAAGGTGGGGTACTCTAAACCCAAAGTCATCACAAAAGGATGCTGTGTGCGACTGTTTAGCATGCATGCCATGATCCTCGGCGCATATAGAAGTAGGAAGGCTGTAGGCCAAAGGCCGCGCCAACATGTTCTCCCTCGCGGGTCCCCCAGACCCTAGTGACCCTAGTGACCATTGGAAGACAAGGACGCCCTTTGTCGGGCTATGTTCAAGTCAGAACCTAGGAGCGCTCCGCCAAAATGCCAGGAACGCCTTAGTTGGAATCCTCTAGGCGCTCAATAGCTGCTAGCACTTCCAGAAGTTTTGCAAAAAGTTCTTGGGAAAGCGAAGCGAATAGCGCTTTTAGGGTCCTCTGGTTTTCGGCCGAAGGGGAAGTTGTGGGTGTCCCTCACTTTTAGGAATCTGGATGTCCTTTTGGGGCACCTTCTTCTTCTTCTGCTTCTTCTTCTTCTTCTTCTGCTTCTTCTGCTTCTTCTTCTTCTGCTTCTGCTTCTTCTTCTTCCTCTTCGGGGGGTTCCCTGTTTATTGGATCCGTTCAGTTGCTTCTTCTTCGTTCCCTTCCGGAGAGCCCCACGGGCTTGGGCTTCCTTGATCTCGCTTGAGCCCCCCAGCCCGCAAGAGCTCCTGCAGGTCGACTGCCCTGGCTCGCACCCCGCCGTCCAAGCGGCTCACACAAACGGCCCCTGAAGGACAACGAAACTTCGGTAGAGAAATTTATTTTTCCAACCAACCAACCAACCAACCAACCAACCAACCAGCCAGCCAGCCAGCTAGCCAACCAACCAGCCAACCAACCAACCAACCAACCAACCAACCAACCAGGGGGCCAGCCCTGGTAAAACACAAACAAGCAACAACAAAAGACTCATCCAGGAAGCTTCGACCCAACAAAAATCAAACAATGTGCACCTTACACATACAGAAATAAAACCAGGACGCGTCTACTCACTTGGGGACCTGGAAATACAAGGTGATCACCTCTTACGCCGTGACTAAAAGTGGGCCGACCATAGGAAAACCAAAAGGTCGAAAGTTAAAAGGTCGGCTTTGGACAAGTGAGATTTGGACGAGTGAGATTAACTATCATACCAGGGCTTCATGGGACGTATACATTCAGCCTGTGAGGGATGAGCACCGAACAAAAATCGGATCAATCACCAACTGGTGAAGGCGTCAGTATGAAACAGAACAAATAGGAAGCCCGCTTCATTGGAAAAGAAGGAAAGGTCGTTTCAAGTGCACCGGAGATGAATCACGGACAAGAATGAATATCACAGGTTCTGTTGTGATGTGGGTGTCTTTTTGAGGAAACCAAAAGGAAACCACCATATTGGGGGGGGGGGGGTCCCCTGAAAAAAACACATATATATATATATATATTTATATGGTCGCCCATGTTTTCTTCCAGTAGGCCAGCGAAAGTTCGCATGCTGTCCGTAAGCCTTGGGCTTCTGAACTGCATGCCTCCTCCCACCGCTCGAAACGCCCCAAAAATCCCCCCCCCCCCCCCGAAGAGACTCCTGGCGATTTCCCATTTGGGTTTGGGTGCCAAAATAGCAAACACCCCACCCCCCCACCCCCCCCACCCCAAAAAAGAAGGAAGAATGAATGGTGTCAAATTTCCGCTTGGTGTCCCATTTTTCCAACCGCAAACAGGGGACCCGGAAAAAACAAGCAAGAGCAAGCAAGCAAGGCAAGGCAAGGCAAAGCAAAGCAAAGCAAAGCAAAGCAAAGCAAAGCAAAGCAAGGCAAGGCAAGGCAAGGCAAAGCAAAGCAAAGCAAAGCAAAGCAAAGCAAACAACAAACAGCCAAACCAAACAACCAAATCAAACCAAACCAAACCAAACCAAACCAACAAACAAAGCAAAATAAAAGAAACAAACGAACAAACAAACAAACAAACAAACAAACAAACATCCGTTTTCCCAAGGTCTAAAGCAGCACACCCTCACTGTTCGTTACGAATGGCTGCTGGCCAACTTCCCCGGTGAGAAATCGTCAGGCAGGTTGGCCTGAACATGTCAACCAAGGTGACAACTGCGGAAAGCCCCTTTCCCCCACCTCAACCAAAGTGCCATCCCCACTACTAGTTCATTTCTTTGAAGGGGACTACTACTTTGGTTTTTTGGCACAGACAGTGGCCCTATATATGGTCGACAGTGAAGGCAACGAAAGCGAGACATCTGGAAAATATGTTGGAAAATCCGTAAACTTCTGAACGATCCGCCGCATCCAAAAGTAAGTGATGGCTCAACTACGGAAAGCGCCTTTCCCCCCTCCCCCGCACCCACCCCATGGTCGAATGGGTTCGTAGACATCACAACACACCCAGAGCCTTGCACCCCGCACATGGAACCTGAGATCCCTGCATGGCATCCTTGTCCATAAAGTTTGCTGCCTGCAAGGCCCAGTACACAAATTCAAGAGAGGTAGATACGCACGGCTCACTTCCTAGTTTGCTTATTCTCTACATGTGGGTGTGGCTCCAAAATAGGGCCCGAAAATGGAACCCTGGTAAATGGACAAGTAAACAAAAGCCTGCAATCTCGCTCTGAAGTATTTTGAGCCACACCCGTGTGACTCTATGTCCTCGCTCAAACTCTGCATACGTCGCAAGAGCCTCACGCAGGCAACCGTGATTTTCTTCGCTCGAGCAGTCAAGCCGTCTGCGGGAAAAGAGTCTGAAGCGGGCAGCCAAGAGTGCACAGCTTTGTGTTTCTTGCCAAACATTCTGTGATAATGCTGTTTCTTGCCCCTGAAAACGTGTCACTCGCTTCTTGCCAAACAGATCCTTGCTTCTTGCTTCTTGTTTCTCGTTTAGTGCACTCAGCCCTGTGGAGTCTTGCCCTACGTGGGCACGGACCTTCCCCTGCAGGTCGCGGTTTTCGCAGCTCAGGGGGATCAGCGCAAGCCAAGCGTCGAATCGGAACCCCGGATTGAGCAGATTTCCTGGTTGGTGAAGAGGAGGGGTGTCCCATGTTCTGTGATTTCAGCGCGAACAAACGAATCCGGGTCTCTGAGCACTGAATGCGCGACCTGTAGGGAGTTTGCGGGTGGCCAAATAAAAACGCAGAGGGTTCGTCACCCTCAAAATACCAAGAAAAACTACGAATTGATGAGTTGATGTTGATTTTGGGCACCGGTGAGCAATTCTTTGCCGACGAACTTGTTTTTCCTTTCCCCCCACAGCTGCATGGCGATTCTTTGAGGGTGCTTCTTATCACTTTGGCCGTGGTGAGCTTCCTGCAAACTAAGGGATGGCGTGGACGTGTTCATTTCAATGATGGCAAGGCGGGTCCGCTGCAAAATGTGCTAGCCGTGGTGGGTAGAGCGCAAGCAACCCACATGTGAGAACGTATTTACGATCATTTTGGCACCGGTAGTCCGCAAGGAATGGGTCGGGTTGCCCGTGAGCATACAGATTCATAATTTTGGACGGTCTGCTGGTCAAATGACGTGACAAGCAAAGCGGCGTAAGTGAGTGCAAAAAAACAAGGTGCGCTTGCGATGCAACCTCTGCGCAGTTTCTTCAGCATTCCCCATCCAAGAATTGGGGTGCTTCAGGTCTCCCAAAGCGGGGAAGGTGTCCTTTTGGCGTCCCGTGAAAGACTGTGGATGGACGAAATCCGAAACCATGTCTGACAAACCATGGTTGGTTGGTATTTACAGGGGAATCATCATTGCAGGGTTTCTTAGCTGGTGCAGGATTAAGAAGGAGTGGTCAAAACTCCTGTGGCTTATCGCCATGGTTCCCCATAGGACACTCTGTTTTGGCAACTGGGTGGTCCCCTCCAAAAGAAAGGACCCACAAAACGAGTGATTTGCCTTCGGGCTTCTCCTTAAACCCGCCAAAAAAGGTGCACACTCAAAAACTAGGGGATGATGATGCTTGGTGTCATGAAGTGTCACGTTGGCTTCCTCCAGGTGTTTTTTTTGCGGTGTGGTAGCCAAAACACAACCGCCCATTTGTAAGGCCCCGAAATTCAAAACCCACACCCATCCTGAAAGGGGCAGGGTGCTTCGAAAGTAAACTAGAAACATAGGTATGGGGTATGTCAAGTCGACCTGTTCCTAGGTTTAAGGCATCCTTTTCGGGGTGATGGGGTGATTTTGGAGGGGAAGCCAAAAGGAATCCAGTCTTTGAAACAAGCCCAGCCCGTTTCGTTGCCAAACCCATGTAGTTCAGGATTCCGGGATGCTTCCACGTATTTGGTCGCCCCCCGTCGCCCCCATGTCCCCCCACTGGGCGGCAACCCTAAAACCCCCCCGAAAAGCCCAAACACAAACAACCACCCCCCTTCCCCTTCTCCCCACCCAACACCTTCCCCTCCCCTCCCCCCCCACCCCAACCCCTAAACCTTCCCCCCCAACCCCACCCATTGGCCCCCACCGATCTCCAGGCCTTCACAATGGCCTCCAGCCAGCTGCGCAGGCGCGGCACGAAGCTGGAGACCAGCGCCTTCCAGCCACCAAAGCTCCGCGCGCGACTCGACCGCTGGGGGCATCCCAATGCGCGCGACATGGGGCGAACCCCCCAAATGCGGGTTGCAACCTTTCGCACGTCAGACCTCCCCAAAATCTTCCGAAAATCGCCTCGCGGCCCCAAGAACGCGCCGAAACGTCGAAATCCACAGATGGCTCGATGCCCGACACTCGACCGGGGCCTAGGAACCAGGTGCCCGGCCTCGTGCCCTACCCCATAGAATGCACCTTTTCAAAAACTAGGCCGGGGCATTTGTCCTGTGACTGAGGGGTTCTCTTTGGTTTGGGTTGGGTTTTGTTGGTGGTTGAAGGGAGACCGAAAAGGAAAACCACCATTCTTGGCGGGGTAACCCGACTTCGCTGAAACCGGCGGAGTTCCCAGGCTCGCGCCTGCATCTTCTCGAACTGCTTTGGCTCTGCGTAGAAGACTGGACGCCGAAGGCCCCTAGGCGATGGAGATGAGTTTCTTGCGATCGGTGCGATGGGTAGGGAATGAGGAAATGAGGCTTATGAACCATGCAACTGGTGGTTTCCTTTAAGGGGACCAATGCCTGGGTTCATTCCATTTCTCATTCCCTACTTATCGTACCAGCGAGATGAAAGGGCCGTTCGCTCGCCGAAGGAAGCAGGGGCGCTATGCAGGGACGCGTTCCGCCAGAGAACCTGCCCCTTAAATGGGCAGTTACCTCTGCCGTCCACGGCTCTCCCCCAGTCTGCATGTGAACCGGGAGTCATGTGTTTGACTTCTTGCAGCCCCCACAAATGAACAAAACAAAACTGATCATGCTGAAAGAGGCCTGCAGAGAAACCCACTTAAAGAGCTTCGCTTGATCAGGGATCCTTAAATTATGCACCTGAACATTGCCTTGTAAATGGTGGTTTCCCTAAATGTTGGTGCTGAAAAAGCAACATGTTTCAAATGGGCAAAATGTATCTTTCAAGGAGCCCTGTTGTTTTTGCTACCACTTGCCTACCACTTGGGTGGCTTAGGGGGCTTTGCCGTTGCCAGTTCTGCGCGTTCGACGCTGGATTGGGAGGTTGGGTTACCCAAGGAACAAACGGCACCGATTTTTGGTAGAAAAGTAGTCTTTAAACAGGGGAAGCTGTGTTCCTCCAACAGCGAAGGAAACCCTCTAAGACTCGCCTTGCACTACCCTATTCCGCCTATTCCCTTGAAACGGTGAGAGACCCCGGAATCCACTTGCTCTCAACATCACGCCGATAAAGAAAGAAGTTGGCCTTCCCATTGCATCCCGATTCAACCAGCGGTCCGACAACCTCGACATGGAACATCATAATCGGATGCTTGGTAACTGTTGACCCCTCTGCAAAAAGTTTATTTGTTTGTGGGTTCAACGGAAAACTCTTGATTTCCCAAAAAGTTAAAGTCTAAAGTTCCAACCCAATAAATCAAGGATGCTACAGCATATTCAATGGACCCCTCCACTCCACAACCTCCAGTTCCAGCGAAAATTCACCCCTCCCCCCTGTTCCTCGGGCCGTGCGAACCCTCAACTCGTGGCTTCCCTTTGATCACCAGGTCCCAACCCTTCCTCACATAGGTGTCCTTTTAGGGCAAATAGATGGCCCTGGTAGATGGCCACCAGGTAAACCAGGGTCATCTGGCTGTGGGTCAAAACCAATGGGATCCCGGATCCCATTTTGGGGTAGGTGAATCCACCACCCACTTTAGAACCTAGTTCAGTGGTTGGATTGGGTCCTGTTCACGGGTTTTGACCCATGGCCATCGACTTTTCTACCAAAACAAGCAAAATGTGATTTCATCCCGAAACGTGAGAAGAAAAAGCATAAGAAGGAGAAAAAGAAAAAAACGGATCACGAACTTGACGCGGCGGCCTCCGGATCGCCGCTCGAGCCAAAAACAAAAAATTGAGAAAAGGGACACCGACCAAGGGGGGTTTCAACCAATTGGAGTCAAAATTAGAACAAGCATCCAACCAGTTGGTTGTCCCCCTTGATCGGTTGTTCCAACTCGTCCTGAGAAGCCGGGCTCTCGGTAGAGCTCCTTGAGCTGGATCCAGTTGTTCTCGTAGTGGATCACCGTCCTGCCGGCTTCGGCTTGCGGCTCGTTTTCTTTCTTGCGCCGAGCCGTTTTTTTTGCCAAAGAAAAAAAGAACGGCCGAAGAAGAAAAAACATGCCGGAGAAGGGTGAGGGGTTAGGGTTTAGGGTTTGGGGTTTAGGGGTTTGATTTGCTTGGTGATTCTTTTTGACTTTTGAGGTTGCGAAAGGAAACAAAAAGAAAGCAAGCCCCCAAGTTGGTTGATCCCCCTCTTGAAAAGACCGCCCCAACATCGTGTGGTTGAAACCGGTAATGACTTCCTTCACGTTGGTCAACCGTTCCAATTCAGGGTTTAATGACCAGCCCTACCAGCCCCAAGGACGAAAAAGCGCGTGTTTCGCGGAGGCGGGCAAACTTGGGGCCGTGCGGCCAGTTTCTGAGGGAAATTTGGGGATTTTCCGCCAGAGGGCGTGAGACAACCGGGTGGTGCTCCACCTCTGAGCCCTCCCAGGCCGGGAGGCAAGGCCTTTCGCGAGGGGCCTCCGTCTGCGGCCTTAATTTCCAACCAAGACAGATTGGCACGATGAGGAACCTCCTCTTAGATTCACCCAAAAGATATTGCCCAAAACAGGCAAGGTAAAAAACAAGAATAAGGGAACACTCACGCAGGACCACGACTAGAAACCAACAAGAAAGCAGGCTGCAGGAAGACAACTAGGCTGTCAACAAGAACCAACACCGTGTCGAGATGATAAATATGTGGTATGCCTCAAATTTCGGACCCCCCCTCCCCCCCACAAAAAAGAAAACCAAAAAACAGATGCGGGAAGTCAAAAGCAAAGCAGCTAGCGGTTTTTCAAGTTGAGGGAGGGCGGCGCAACATGGCGAACCCCCCTTTTAGTCAAGCAAGAGGAAACCCAAAAGGACGCCTGTAGAGTCTACCAAAGCCGATTTTCCATCCCGATTGGACAACCAACGGGAACGCGTTCGGGATCTTGATTGCCGAATTAAACAGCCCAGTGGGGAAAGATTTGGGTGTGTTGGATTTGTTGCGGGTACCCTTCCTGGGTTTCAAAGGGAGACCGAAAGGAAAACCGAAGCCATTTTGAGGCTCACCCTATGTTTGACACATCGCCATTTTGACCGCCCAAATTGGACCTGGCTTTCCAGAGAGTTGAGCCAAAATCAAGCCCGATCGGTATCAAAATGGTCGGGGCACAGAACCACGTAAAGAAATAAGAAGGCGGCGAAGGCACCTTCAGACTATCCCTTAATACCTTCATCTACCCGAGTCTTGAGTGTGGCTCACTTGGGGTTGGGGCATGGGAAATAAGGCAGGCGTGGAACGGTACTGGTTGGAGTTGTTCGAGAGGAATCGGAAGCAAATCATTTGAGCCATAGACAAAATACCACTTGTTCCCCCACATTATGAAGGGTTTGCCGGTGGCTTCAGTTCCTCAGTCGACTTCTCATTGCCATTCTGCTTTTCAAGCAACGTTCTCCACACATGTCGTGTCTTTGTTGGGCCCCCCCCCATCAGAAAGGGGAACCCATTCGATTCTTGGAAGAAATCCCCCTTTGCTGGCAGCTAGGAGCAGGCAACTTCTCCATGACGAACACACACTCCGCCGTGTGTTTTTTTTGAGGGTAGCAACGAACATAAATTCCACAACAAACCTGTCCAAAGGAAAAGGTCGCCTGAAAAGGCGCAGGTTTCCGTGCAGTGCCCAAATTGGGTGGGCTTTGCAACGAATCCAAAGGAAGACCTTCTATGGAGTCCCCTTGTTTGAGACACAGCCTCAAAGAAAGGCGTCTTCACGCGACATCTCTCCTTCTGTATCGGAAGGACACGTACAGCGAATGCCTGACAGCCGAAAAAAGAGGTCCGACATGGTGTGCTTTCTGTGTGACTGGTTTGGCGCTGGCACTTGTTGAGCTTTACATGACAGCCCAACGACCACCCCTTTTACATTGGGGTTGGTGAAAACATCCAGCCCTGCGCAGGAATGCATTTTGTTAGGCCCCGCCCCCCCCCCCCGGAAAAAAAAGAAGAAAAACAACTTGAATTTTGATTCCACAATGTGATGGTTTTTGGGGTCCTTTTTTTCACCCCGCCCCCAAAAACACCCCTTCAATCACCTCCGACCCAAAGCACCCCTTTCTCCAAACAAAGTGGGGGTGAAAAAGGGTTGATGTGCTTTGGGTCGGAGGTTGGCCCGAAGCCTTGTCACCGCACTGACCCTTGCAAGGGCGAGATATGCTGTGGTCTAGCGGTAACTTCCCCATTCTTTCCAGGCTTGCTATGCGCAGACCGCGCTTTTCCTCTGTTCCTTGATTCAAAGGGGCTTCGGTAACCCCGTGTTTGCAACCTACCTCAACGGGCTCCCCCTCGCTACTCGTAGCGAAAAGCCCCCGTGGGATTATTTACCCACTTCGCAAAAAGTCTTGCAAAAAGATGCCTTCGCATCTGCAAGATTCCGCTCAAGCCCCTCACCTGTTGACCGCCTGCATCATCTCCCAGTACTTCTGCTTCATCTGCTTCGCCGTCCAACCGCGTCCGCGATTGTCATGCTGAAACTGGTTCCATGTAGAACTACAGCTTCGTCTCGCCAGTCCTGCCCGCACCGCTAGGTTAGACCTTGTCTCCTCCACAGCCTCCGCAATGGTCCTCCCCTCCAACCGAGCAGTGCTCGCAGCAGCCTTGCCGGATGCCGCATCATCTCTCTTCGTCCTCGTTGTTGCTTCTGCGCCGCTCCTGTCTGGCACAGATTTCTGCAAAACCTCCTCCTCACCGTCCTCCGACCTCGATGAAGAGCTGTCAAGCTGCTCAAGCCCCTCGCACCGTCTCCACACTCTTCCCCACTTGCTGTAGGCGCCCTTGGTCTCCTTCTTCTGCACCTCGATCCTCGGATCTTCTCCAATTCGGTCCACCAATGCGGTGACCTTCATCAGCCTTTTCGCACAACCCAAGGTTCCCTTAGCCGTCTCCTTCGCGACAACTAATGCACCGATGATCATGAGAATCATCCCCACCAAGAAGATGCCCTCCTCACTCTTGCTCTCACCGCCATTCGTGACCTCCATGATTTCTGGGCTGACGCCATCCGCTCCAGCCATGAGACTGGCGCCCAGTGCAACCATGGCTTTGGCCCTACCCAGCCCCAAAAAGCGAAGGCAGCCCTTTGGGCAGTGGTGATTTGAAACAGCTGAGCCTTCACTTGGAGGGGGTTTTCCCTTGGGCGGTTCATCTCCCCCGCCCAACTTGTTAACCTTTCTTGCCTTCTCGGCTCCTCCATCTGGCCCATCTACTGCCGCCGGTTCATTTTCCCTGGCGATCTTCTTTTCTTCTTTTTTGGCCCAATGGCTCTTATTCTTGGCCCACTGGCCCTCCCTAACCATTCCAAGCTCGGCCAGAAACTTGCCGAAGGCCTGTCCTTGCAGCATCTTTGTCAAGCCATCCGCGACCAACTGCGTCCCCGGCATATGCTCCAGCACCCGCTCGCCCTCCTCCAAGGCCCACCGAAGTGCTGAAGCTCGAATCCGAAGATGCCGCGTCCTCCAGTTTCCCGCCCCATTCGAAGCCAGGCTGATGGCCGCCATGTTGTCTCCGTACATGCGCTTGTGCTTCACACCGCCTCTCCAGTGACGACCTCCGCCAATGCCACCAGTGCTCTGCCAACGGTAAGCGCCTCGCAATACCCGATGAGCTCTCCCTCCGCCGTGCTTTGTGCCACAAATGGCTGCCGGATTGTCTCTCAGCACACCGGAGCTCCATCCACGAAGCCAATGATCCCCTGCACGCTTTTGTCCTGGCCTCCCGAAGCATAGGATATATCCGCAAAGACCTCCACCATGTTCTGCTGTCTCCGCATCCCCAATCCTTGCTTGGACGCCCATCCCTCAGCTACCCCATAGTTCAGGCCTCGGTCTGCTGTGGCCTTCACATACTTCAGCACGTCCTTGCCCATCTTCACCACATGTTCTCCTTTCTTCGTCCACCTCGACATTGCTGCCACCGCCACGTTGATCTCTAGGCCTTGTCTTCGCCGCCAGCCACAGCAGTGCTCCCGTGATGGCCTGTGCCTCTTTCACTTCCTCCGGAGTGCCATCCTCACATTCTTCATCTGGCAACTTGTGGGTCAAGGTCTCCGTGCCGTCCTCTATCCCCCACTTGGCCGTGAGATCCTCCGCGCAGGCCTTCTGATTGATTTTTGTACCCACCGTCCTTCTGGTAGATCTCGAACCCGCAGAATCGCAACGGCACCTCGCTTGTGGCTCGTTCTGCCGGCGATAACCTCCAGTTTCCTCCATCCATTGTGGCTCTCGCTGAGTCGATCACCTCGTCCTCACCCGCCAGCAACACGTCATCAACATAGATCGACATGAGGCCTACAATGACCCCCGACTCGATCTCAACGATGTGCCAGAGGTTGAGCTTCTTTCCTCCACCTTCCCATCTCATCTTCCTCACTTCTCCATCCCGATGTACGCTCCAGTCCCTTGGCGAAGTGACCAGTCCGTGCACTGCCTTGTCGACGACCCACACTTCGTCCCTCTTCGCAATGCCCAACTCCTTGAAGATGGACGGTACCTCCATGATGACCGTCCGCCCATCCTCTCTCCTTGGCGCATTCAGAAACGCGGTGTGCATGTCCGTGCCCAGCACAGACCACCTCCTCTGAGCTGCTGTCCTGAGGACCATCCTGATCTGAAGCGCGTCCGCTCCTCCAGCGTACACCTCATCAGCACCTTTTCCTGCCGAGAAGTTCCCGCACACCACTCTGACCTTCCTCCTCCCATCTGGCGACTTCCGGGCGCATACGGCTTTTCCGGGCAGGATCTCCACTGGACCAGCAATCTTCTCAATCTCACTCCTCGTGATTGGTCTCACTGCTCTGCTTTCTTCCACCAGCGCCATGTACTCTTTCTTGGCCGCCTCTTTCCAGCTGTCCAGTTTTTCTCTCACTTCTCCCACGCCGATCGTCTTCGTCACGAGCCATTCCTCTTCCGCCTTCACCGCTTCGTTTACCTGCATGCCATTCAGGGCCGCTTCAATATGTCCTCTTCGTTGGAGTCCTTCACGTAGCACCCCCAACCATAGTTCCTGATCTTCTTGGCTGGCATCCAGAATCTCCAGCTCTTCCTTGGCCCACTCTGTGGCATGTTGGTGCCATCGCTCAAAATTGATCTGCTCCGTCACCTTCTCCCTCGACGATCATCGTCGACATGGCCGTCTTGTCGCGCAGTCGCCTGCTTGGTCTCTCTGCCCGGGGCATCAGCAAGTCCGGCTCCGTCTTTTCTTCCAGAACCACTTCCTCCCCCAGGTCCACAATCACCTCCTCGGGCTCCGGAATGGCATCTGTCGTGGCAAAGTACCTGCCGTCCCCGCAGCTCCGAACCCAATATCCTCCTGAGGTAGATGACATCGCCGCATCCGGCCCCATGATCTTCACCTTCTCTCTGTCAAACCTCCAATCCTGGTACCGCTCATTCCAACTCTTCTTCATTTACATACGCGGTCGTTCCCCAGGGGAGCAACTCCTTGACCGGCAGTCCCACCACTTGCAACTGTTTTCGAAGCCTCCGTTCTCCTGCATGTCTCAATGCCATCGGCCACGAATTTCCCGGCTCCTCCGCCGCCTTCAGCAACGTCCTAGTTGCCCTTTTGAGGACTCCGATCTCTGCTTCCACCCTTCCATTCTCCTTGAACGCATCCCCCGGAACCGTTGTCTTCACGATGTTCCGATCTTCTGCCCGCCGCTTCAGCTGTGAAGCCATCAGTTCCCGGGCCCTATCGGTGTGCAGACGATACACCGGCAGGCCCATCTCCCGAAGCCGTGCATAGATCCTGGCGATTGCCGGCAAAACATCCGAAACCTTCCGGGTCTTGATTGGCTCCACAAACGTCAGGTTGGTGACCGCGACATTCTGGGCCTCATCCACCATCTTTTGCCAGATGTCTACCGCCTTGATTTCTCGGTCCGCTTCTTCTGGAGGAACCTGTTCCTCATCCTCCTTCTCCTCCAACACGTCAACTTCGGTCTCTTCGGCGTCCTCCGGGATGGGCTCTTCATGATGCTCCGTCAACAATGACCGCCCTTCCCTATCTGTTGGATATGTGTAGACCGCCGCGACGAAGTATTCCGAAAACAACCTCTGGTCTTGCCCTTTCTGCAGCCTCCCCGACAAATCCACCGAGAGCGTGTAAGCCTGTGGATGATGTATCCGTCGATGAGGACGGCCTCTCCCCTGGCTTTCAACACAAGTCCGGCAGTCCCGCCGCGCCGGCTGATGATCACATCGGAAATGCTTCTTCCACATCTCCTTCGCCGCTGAGCTCAAGGGTCTGAGAGCACACTCCCCCCCACCTTGATCTCCCCGGCATTATCCCGGCGCCCACGCTGACCACCTCTTTGTCTGTGCAATCCTCTCGGACAGATCTCCCGACCAAGCTTCACCTCCTTGTCCAGGACCAGAAATCTCCCCCAGTCCTTGCAGTCCCTGTAGGTTCGTCCCAAGGGTCGTTGGTTTCCGGCGCTCATGCCCAAGTGGTCCTTGGTCGAAGTGGATCAGCTGCATCTGATACCTCCGAGCAAAGGCTTTCCAAGCCTCGAACCGCCACACACTCACAAGTTGATCACAGTGCACATCCACCCGGTAGTCCCCAGGGTCCCGCGGCTGCTCCTTCACAAAGCCTACCGTTCCATTCCCTTGCCTCCGGGCTGTTTCCTCCGCCACAACATAGATCGTCAGCATTCGCAGCCACAGCACCGAGTCTCCTTCCACCGTCTCCTTTTCTTGAGGTGTCAGGCCCGGAAGACCATATGGGTGCTGCTCGCTCCTCACCTGTCTCGGACCCGGCTGCCGTGCTCTGCAGGCTGACACTGTTCGGCAAGGCGGTCCTCCAAACACACTAACCACCTTCCCGCTCTTCGCCAGAGAGATCAAATAACCGTACACATCGTCGTTGTGGAGATCCTGTGACGGATCGTTGATCTTATCCAAGCAGATCACCACCGTGCTGTCTTCTTCCAAATCCCGCCACTTCTTTCCATCACCGGAAAAAAGATGCACGTGGATCTTCTTAGCTCTTTCTATTGATCTTCTCCTCTTGCGATTCCATGGAAGTCTCTCCGTGTCGAAGTCCTGCGACACCACCAACTTCGCCAGGATGTGATCTGGAACATCCACATAGAACTCCTTCAGCGCTTTCAGCATCACTTCCTCATAGCTCGGCGTCGTCTTTGCGATGACCTCGCCCTTCAACAGCGACAACTTCCAGTTCAGCTGTTCCCGCTTCTGCTCCATCATCTCGATCATCTTCAGAGCTGTCGACTCCTCCACCATGGGACAACCACCCACCATCGTAACCTCGGGTACGCCACTGAGCACTTGCCGTTGACCCAGTTCACCACGTACCCGGATTCCGTCATGGCGCCCATTGGGACGATGATCTGAGTCCCCTTCTCTGCTAACAGCGTCAGGGTGCCCGGTTTGCTCCGCATCAAGGTGCGTGACCCGTCCGCCAGGCAGACCTCTACCACCTCCGCCTGATTCCATTCTTCTGTTGTTCTCCACGGCCTCAACGCATGCGTAGCTCCACCATCCAGCAACCCCATTCTGCTGTCGGCATCTCCAACCTGCTTCATCACGATGACCGCATTCATGCTTGGGCGACGTAGGGACCGAAGAAGGCTCGCTGCTTCCGCCAGAAGCTCCCCCGTTCCCCCACTTGAATTTCCCCCTGCATTTCCAGCCCCACTTGCCGCCTTCACTGCTGGTTGGTCTTACCGCACCCTTCACTGGGCACTCGCTTCTTCGATGTCCTTTTCCACCGCAAATCCAGCAACGCTCCGCCTTATCGGCCACACCATCCCATTCATGCGGCCACTTGCAGTTCTTCCCTGCTCTGCATCCATTCTCCAACATGAAGAACCTGCAATTCCTTTGACCACCCTCCTTCTTTGCCGATGCTGGTCCCTCCTGCGCTCCACCGGCCGCCGTGGCTCCACCGCCACTCATCGCTTTCACCTTTGCCTGCTGTGGACCAGCATCACTTGCCATGGCCGTGTCCAGCTCCGCCAACAGCAGCTCCGAATATTGCCAAATGGCCATCGTAGTTGGGGCAATGTCAAGACCAAGCATCGATCTTGCCTGGGCCACCCGGAATGCCTGCGCACCCCCTTTGTTGATCATCTGCGCCACCCTTTCCAGCGCCGCTGCCAGCAACGTAGGATCAGGCAATGATGCCCCAATCTCCTGCGCCCGCTGATAATACCTCCGCCATTCTCGCAAGGCCACGGCCGCTTCCGACACTCCTCGCAGCTCCCAAGTCCGTGAGCTTCTTGAGGATCAACGACCTCTCCCCCGGACCTCCAGGCTGAAACGTGACCAACAGCCTATAAAGGACTCCCGTAGACGTCAGATCTCTAGACGAGATCAACTCCCTTCTGATCTCCTCCGGGATGCCCTTCAATAGCATCGTCAGTCCTCTTTGCTCCGTCCGGATGAACCTAGGCGCCTTCAACCGCTCCGGCACGTCAACCCTGATCTGAAGCCGTTCCAATGGGGTCGACCTCAGCCACCTCTCGTAGAGCTGCTTCGCCTGCTCCATCGTTCCGGCCCACCATTCCAATGCCCCTTGCGAGAGATCGCTCATCTGAGGCCCCACCAGCGCCAGCCAATCCCCAAGCGTCAACGGGGAATGATCATTGGCCAACTCCGGCAACTCCATTTTTCCTCCAGCGCCTCCAGATTCAACCTGCTCTGCCCACTTCTCGTTGCCCTTTTCCCACAACTTCCAGCTATCCCAGTGTGGGTCCATTCCGCCTTGTGGTTCCATCCCTCATGTCTCCACTGCTGGTAGTCCTGGCTTTCCACTGAGGCTCCCAACCTTGGTCTCCTTTTCCGACCACTTGCACCTCCAGCGGAGGTTCACCCTCCGGCAACCTGGTTCCCCCCGGCGTCCTCAACAAGCTCCTTGTCGGCGACCTGGATCTTCCACCCGGCCTCACCATCTCCAGGGATTCTGCCCGCCTCGGTGGTGGTGGCGGTGGTGGTGGTGGAGGTGCCGATGCACTTGGCGTTACAAAGATCTCATCCATGGGAGTTTGAAACCTCGGCTCCTCATGCTCCCGATGTCTCTGTCGCCAACCCTCCGCCTCCTCTTGCCATTTCCTTACCTCCTGGCGCAGTCCTTTGATGATCCCGAAGAGATAATCCCTCTGCTTCTCCATCCCCCTGATCTTTCGGCATGCCTTCATGAAGTTCTTCTCCATCTCTTGAGCAAGATCCATTTCTCCGATCAGCTCCTCGTCATCGGGTGGTTGAGGTCGTTCTGGGATCCAGACCTTGAACTCATCGTTCCAGAACCAATCCAGGTTCAACGGAGTGCTTCCGCTGCCTTTCCTGCCTCTCGTTCCTCGTCCTTCCGGATCTTGTGCGGCCTCTTCTCCCGGAACCGCCCTTTCCGTTCTTCGGCACTCCTCTTCCCACAGCCTCTGATCCCTTAGCTCTGGATCATCCTCTTCTCCTGGACGTTGAACTTCTCGCTCTTGCCGTTGAACTCCACCCTCACCTGGTAGTAGAGCTCGACCCCGAGGTCCACCGCCTTCTTCCCTTCTTTGCCGTACAGGAACTCCCCCAGCAGCTCGTAGAGCTCCGTGATCATGTTGAAGAGCTCGGCCATCATCTTGCCGTGCTGCTCCCCGACCATGTCCTCCAACTCCTTGTTCTTTCGCCTGTGGAAAACCAGGTTCAGGCCCAGATACCTCTCCACCATTCGCCATTCTGGCGCCTTCCAATTCCGTCATGAGGTCCCTCTTGACCTCACTCCAGAACTCACTTCGCTGGCTGCTCGCCGCCTCCGGGTGCCCACCAATCTCCCGACCATGCCCAGGAAGATCTCCCGCAAGAGGGCCCCCTTCTCCATTGTTCTCATCCTTCGCGATCTCGACCATCTTCGAGTTCTCGGATCCAGGGACCTTGGGCAGGTCTTCCGGCCTCATAGCCTGCAGATATGCTTCATCCACAGCCCGTTGGCTCCAGAAAGGATTTACGTCCACCCGCCGTTCCCCGGCTTCTCCTTGCCTTCCCCGAGCGTCTCGCCCTTCACGAGGTCCTCCGGCTCCAGGATCTTCCTCCGGGTTCTCCTCGATCTGGCCCTCCAGCTCGGCGACCATGATGCCTGGGTCCGCAGACCTCGTTCTCCGCCTTCTCATCCCCGCATCCATGGCGAGGTTCAGCACCGGGTTGGGCTCATAACCCTTGCTATGCGCAGACTGCGCTTTTCCTCTGTTCCTTGATTCAAAGGGGCTTCGGTAACCCCGTGTTTGCAACCTACCTCAACGGGCCAGGGATCCGGATCTTTCTAGAAAACCTCCGAACAGCTTGGGGAATCAACCCCTGGAAATATGGGCAAAAACTACCTGATTTTTGAAAAACCTGAAATAGATCCTGGTGAGCTCGTTTACCCCCACCATCTCACCACAAAGAAGGCAGATACATGCCGTCAAACTCTTTGAGTTGAGTGGCCGAAGTTCGCCTCATGAAAAAAAAATCCCCCAAAATCAAACGAAGACTGAGGAGAGCAGCACGGTAGAGCTGCTTAAAGCACTTCTGCTTCTGTTGGCACTCCCTCATCTCGGCAAGTTGCTATCATTCGCTAACCGGAACAAGGAATTCCAGGAGCCATCATTCTGGGGCCCAAGCACGTTTTAATGGGAACCCCGGATTAGCAAACCCCTGGTCGATTGATAGGAGGGTGTCCCCTTTTTAGTGGGAATCTGGATCACTCTTCTGTGTGTGTGACACTTCCTGGCAGCATGGCTGCATTCATCCGGGGAAAAAAAAAGAGAAAAAAAACGATCCCCCCCCCCCCGACTTTTCGAGGGACCTCCGCGAGGAGGAGGAGGAGGTGGAGCATGTGCTGCCTGGCTTCGAAAATGGTTGGCGTCTCCCCTTCTGGAGGGCGCCCACAGGCCGTGAAGACAGACGACATGAAACCCACCTACCGATTTTAGGGGCTGCCCCTTGGACCCCTATCCATTTGAGGGTGCCCCTCTTAATCAGAGACCCTTCTAAAAGGGGGGGAGGGAAAGTGGAAATTGAGGTCCACACGAATGTTTGCGGGTGTTCCATGACCCGCAATCACCGCTTCGCTCCCCGAGCCCAGAAATCCACTTCGCGCCGCGAAGGAAGTTGGTTTCGCCCAACATTTGCCGGGGTTCATTCATCGGTGCAGGATTTGGCCCTAGCCACGGTATCATATTTACTCTTTGCTTTCAAGATCCGCTTTGGCGTTGACAAACTCCGTCCTCTGTCCGTCACAATCCTCCAGCTCCCTGGCTCGAGATCTTCTCCCGGAGATCGAGGGGGTGGAAAATTGATCCTGTGACAATCCAAACCTGCTCTTCGGGCAGAACAAAAAGGCGCGCAAACCCATGTCCTAGACGAACATCTGCCCAAACAGTCCAAACCTTTTGCCACCAGAAGGGTCTTCCCAAAAAGTGGTAAAGTTCAGAACCTCGGGGAGAGAGCAAACAACGAGGATCCTACATTTGGCGATTACATTTGCAACGAACCCCACCCAAAACATGACCAGGGTTCAAAACGAATGGGATCCCATTTTGGGATTGCACTACCCATTTTAGAACCTATTTTAGTGGGGATTGGGATGTTCACTGGGGGTACGGGGATGTTCACTGGGGGTACGGGGTTGTGACCCATGCCCAACTGGCAAAGTATCGAAACTTTCATCTCGTCGGTTTTTGGTAGGGCTATGAGTGGGGTCCACCCAAGACTCGCGTCCAAACGACTTGTTTCCCGCCATGGACAGATTCGGGAACTCGTCCGTTCCGTGACTGACTCATGTCCCGCAATTCAATGGACCATACATGAGCAAAAAACACCCACAAACTTCCAAGTCACCATTCTCACGCCAGGTCACCAAAAACCAATGCCCCATGAGAGTCTCTATGGGTTTCGGTTGCGCTTGAAAAACGCCACCTGCAGCTCCCCAAACCTGAAAAAAAGCCGGCCTTTGGGCGCTTCGCTCGGCTCGGTGTGCACCTTGGAAACACAAAAGTTGGGGGACCCTTCTGGAAAAAGAATCCGACTTAAAGACACAAATTGGTGAATTTCCCCCAGTGAAAAACAAACATACATTCGTGCGCTGTACGAACTAACAATACGCGCCTTTCCGTTACTCAAGAGTTAAACAGTTAAGCAGAATATCTTCAAACAGTGGGTCTTTGGGGGTAGGGGGGACCCTTTTCGTGTGATTCAGGAAGAAGGCAGCAAGGCACCGGAGATTCCTTCCTCCCACTAACCTCTTGTAGGGACCTTTTGTCCCTGTCAGGTGCCATGGCATGAGTGGGAGTGAGGATAGTTTATACACCAAACAACACCAAGCAGGTGGAAAGATCTCAGCAAGTTCAAAGTAAAGACTTTCATTTGCTTTTCGCCCCGTGGATATATATTCTTGAGCAAATGGAACAAAATAATGATTGCCTCGCAAACGCCTGCGCTCTTGCCACCCGCGTCAATTTCAAAATGCGTCCCGGAGCCTTTGGTGGACAGGGTGGGGGCCCTTTTGAGGTGGCTTACCAAAATCGAGTTCTCGCTAGGTCACTTCCAACAACCCATCAGATTGCGGGGGAATTCTGCAACATCAGAACCCCCTCCAGAAGCTACTCACCTTGGGTGCCTCTCTTGTACTGGAGTGTGTCTCAAAAGATAACCGCAAAGACTTTGGCTTTCCTTTGGGTTTCCCTCAACAACCAAAAAAGACCATCCCTTTTTTTGGTTTCCTGAACCAATCAAGGGACCCATGTTCAGCCTCAGCTAGCCAGGCGGTTCTTTCTTCGGTCGCCCCGGTTCGGTCAGCGACTGGGGCCACCACAAAGACCACGACCTTCCACGAATTTGCTTCCGACGTTTGCAACCCCAAGATGGGTGGTTCAGGGTACCCAATTGTTTTGTGGGTACCGGTAACCGAAAACTGTTCTAACCATGGCACCAAAAGTCAATGGATTTTGGGCGCTGCTCAAAGTACCCAAAAGGTGAACCGACGCCAACTTGGGGTCCAAACCCGGGACGAGCCACTCAGATGGAACTTCCACCCCGGGAAGAAATGGGATATGAAGCGAGCGGTTCTTGCCACCTGGCGGGCTTTTCTCTTCCTTGGGGGGAAGTTCGCATCGATGTGAGCTGAGGCAGGATATACCCCTTGTATGGTGGTGTATGGTATATAGAACCTCCGCACTTCCAAAACCCACACCAAGTGGTCTTGAAAAATCATGTTGACCCCTGAGCACTAATCCCCGATGCCTCTTGGAGTGGGGGATGGTAAAAGTAGATGGAGCCATTCCTTCGGTAAGACACTGATCCGAACGAATAGCCTGGCTGTCACTCGAGGCTTCGAGGTTTCCCGAATTCGGGGAGCCCACTAAACACACAGCCGCAGATGCTCCGCAGATTACTGCAAGATCCCACCCAAAACACAAGAAACAAAATGGACAGTTTTTGGGGGGGGGGTTCTATAACCCCTCCCCCCCCGCCAAAAAAAAAAAAAAACACTCTAGAGGCATCATCTTTGGGGGTACCGGGTCCTCCTTTTCGGGCTCCGAACAGCCCTGAAGCCTCGCACTTGTGAGCTTTTCACAAGCCGAGGCGGCGGCGCTTGCCATCGAATCTTCAAATATTGCTCTAATTCCAAAAGCTGAACAAAGGGATCCCCAAGTAAACGACCATGAGCTCGTTGTGCTTTCAGGTGAGCTCGCATAGGCAGATCTAACGACAACTATCCCAGTGATTCCTTCTACCTGCAGTAGGTAGCCAACGACAAGCGCCACCCTTGAAAAACTCAAAAAGAAAATAGCTGGTTACCTACTAGCTTGCCTGGGATCCACTGGGAATAATCATAACGAGAATAATGATGCTACCCTCCCACCAATTAATATGGAGCCTGACAGGGGTCCCTTTAAAAGGCAAATGGTCTTCCAGGACCCCCACCACCCACCCACCCCCAGGATCCATGTTAATTGGTGGGAGGGGGAATAAGAGAAGTAATAATATAATACTAGTACCGCGGTGCTGAGGATTGAAACCATTTGTTTCTGAAGCTGAATCCCTTTCAAAAAGTGCCCTACAATCACGTGAGCATGTTTTTCCGTGGGGGAACTTGGGTGACGTTGGGCTGTCCTCTTTCTGTTCGTGAAACCAACAGACTACCAAATCATAATGTGAGTTTCAAGCGGGGACCAGCTTGGTGGACGTCATTTGCATGAGGATTTCTGTCCACCAAACACTCTCGAGGGGGTTCCCCACTCTACTAGAATTCATGGCCATGAGTACTCACATATTTCTCGCCAAGATGCTGAGCCCGGCGAAGACTCCATCAACGCCTGGCAGGCAAATGAGCCCCCCGCACCCCAGAGACACACCCAAAAAACATACCAAGCCGATGACTTCGAGGGCACCCAGTGGGATCAAGTCCCTGCAATCGGGTGAAACAGGTTGCAGTTGCATGCGTTTGCGATGACCCCCGCGCCAGCACACTCAGGGCTTCAAAGGGAACGCCCCCCCCCCCCCCGGCCCCATTTTTCTGTGGATCGGCCGAAGTGGTTACTTCAGGGTCAACGCCCTCCCCCCCCTTTTCTGTAGATCGGCCTAAGTGGCTCCCTAGGAGCACAGGGTCTCAACCCAGCGCCCGGAAGGAGAGCAAGCCCATGTCTCTGGGATCTTCAGGCGCGAGCCTCCTCGGCGCTGGCACGCGAGAGGAAGTCCACCTGCCCAAAGGAAAACCCAAAACCCGAAAACTCCCGGGCGCGAAAACGGGGCCACTTGCTGACAACCCATGACGAACCGAAAGACGTGTTGGGGTTGTCAGGTTCCTCTCCCAATCGAGTTGAGTCTGTCTGTTTTTGAAGATATCCTTGTTGGGGCCTGCTTTAAGGTAAACCAAGAGGAAAACCAAAGCCATTTTGAGGCGTCCGAATCCCAAAAGAAGACGAGGCACCCGTTTGTTTCCTAGATGGATTCCTATGGCTTCCGAAGACTCCTTCAACCCGTGCCAATGATTCCCCAAGCCGAGCTCTCTGGATCAAAGGAATCGATCCAGTCACAAAGTGCGGGTGCACCCATGCGAACCCTTTCGAGGAACTACGAATCCCAGATTGGTCAGTCAGTCACTTGCCTGTTTCTTTGTTAATGCTAACCCCGGATTAACAAACCCCTGGTTAATAGGGGGGTGTCCCCTTTTAGTGGGGATTCATCACTTTTGGAGGAGTGGGACGGGTTTATTAATCCTGGGTCAACATTACCCAGGTCCAGGCTACGGTCAAACTCCTAAACCGTACGTGTGGTCCCCTTCGAGCGGCTTCTGGGGGAAGAGAAGCGAGCTAACCCAACAGGCAGGGCGACGTCCCAAGAAAAACGTCGCCAAAAGGAAGCTCACCTGACAAATCGGCCCAACAGATGATGTTAAAACCCACCACAAGTGGGAAGATGCGGTTGTCTCAAAATAGAATGTGAAACCCTTAAAATTCTGGGGCACCCGAGAACAAAAATGTGGAAAAAACAACGGAGAAAAAAGAAGGAAAACAAAAGAACAGACCCAGATCGCCGCCCTGGACGGCCTCCACGCGCTGATCAGAGCAGCGCGCTCGGTACCAAAGCTTGTTCCTCGGTACATGGAGCGTTTGTTGGTTTAAGGCTCGGTGCCCTCTTTGAGGTTGGTTTGAAGAGAAAGGAAAACATCCATTCTTTGGGGATACCCTGTTCTTGACATGACATACCCACATGTGCGTGAATGTGCTTGTGTGTGTGTGAGGTTGTTTGTGTGTTTGTGTTCGTGTATGTGTGTGTCTTTGTGTGTGTTTGCGTGTGTTTGCGTGTGGGCGCGCGTGTTTGTGTCTGTGTTTGTCTGTGTGTGTGTGTGCTTATGTGTGTGTGTGTGTGTGCGTGTGCGTGTGCGTGTGCGTGTGCGCGTGTGCGTGTGCGTGCGCGCGCGCGTGCGCGTGTGTGCGTGTGCGTGTGCGTGTGCGTGTCCGTGTCCGTGTGCGTGTGCGTGTGCGTGTGCGTGTGCGTGTGCGTGTGGGTGTGTGTGTGTGTGTGGGTGCGTGCGTGCGTGCGTGCGTGGGTATGTGTGTGTGTGTGTGCGCATGCGCGTGCGCGTGCGCGTGCGCGTGCGCGTGCGCGTGCGTGTGCGCGTGCGCGTGCGTGTGCGTGTGCGTGCGCGTGTGCGTGCGCGTGTGCGTGTGCGTGTGCGTGCGCGTGTGCGTGTGCGTGTGCGTGTGCGTGTGCGTGTGCGTGTGCGTGTGCGTGTGCGTGTGCGTGTGCGTGCGCGTGCGTGCCTGCGCGTGCGCGTGCGCGTGCGCGTGCGTGCGTGTGTGCGTGTGTGCGTGTGTGCGTGTGTGCGTGCGCGCGTGCGCGCGTGCGCGCGTGAGCGCGTGCGCGTGCGCGTGTGCGCGCGTGCGCGTGCGCGTGCGCGTGCGGGTGCGGGTGCGTGTGCGTGTGCGTGTGCGTGCGCGTGTGCGTGTGCGTGTGCGTGTGCGTGTGCGTGTGCGTGTACGTGTGGGTGTGGGTGTGGGTGTGGGTGTGGGTGTGGGTGTGGGTGTGTGTGTGTGTGTGTGTGTGTTTGTGTGTGTGTGTGTCTGGATGTGTGTGTTTGTGTGTTTGTGTGTGTGCGTGTTTTGTGCTTGTGTCAGTGTGTGTGTGTGTGTGTTTGTGTGTGTTTGTGTGTGGTTGTGTGTGTGTGTGTTCGTGTATTTGTGTGTTTGTGTGCTTGCGTATTTGTGCTCTTGTGCTTGTGCGCTTGTGTGCTTGTGTGTTTGTGTGTGTGTGTCTGTGTGTGTGTGTGTCTGTTTGTGTGTGTGTGTTTGTGTTTGTGTGTTCGTGCGCTCGTGTGTGTGTGTGTGTTTAGTTTGTGAGTTTGTGAGTTTGTGTTTGCGTGTGTTTGCGTGTGGGCGCGCGTGTTTGTGTCTGTGTTTGTCTGTGTGTGTGTGTGCTTATGTGTGTGTGTGTGCGTGTGCGTGCGCGTGCCCGTGTGCGCGTGCGCGTGCGCGTGTGCGCGTGGCGGCGTGCGCGTGCGCGTGCAGGCGTCCGTCCGCGACGCGCGCGTGCGCGTGCGCGTGCGGGTGTGCGTGCGCGTGCGCGTTGCGTGCGCGTACGTAAGTGTGTGTGTGTGTGTTGTGTGTTGTGTGTTGTGTGTGTGTGTGTGTTGTGGTTGTGCTGTGTGTTGTGTGTTGTGTGTTGTGTGTTGTGTGTTGTGTGTTGTGGTGTGTGTGTGTGTGTTGTGTGTTGTGTGTTGTGTGTTGTGTGTTGTGTGTTGTGTGTTGTGTGTGTGTGTGTTGTGTGTTGTGTGTGCTGTGTGTGTTGTGTGTGTTGTGTGTGTGTGTGTGTGTGTGTTGTGTGTTGTGTATGTGTTGTGTGTTGTGTGTTGTGTGTTGTGTGTTGTGTGTTGTGTGTTGTGTGTTGTGTGGTGTGTGGTATGTGGTGTGTGGTGTGTGGTGTGTGTTGTGTGGTGTGTGGTGTGTGTGTGTGGTGTGTGGTGTGGTGTGGTGTGTGGTGTGTGGTGTGTGGTGTGTGGTGTGTGTGTGTGTGGTGTGTGTGTGTGTGTGTGTGGTGTGTGGTGTGTGGTTGGTGTGTGGTGGTGTGTGGTTGGTGTGTGTGTGTGTGTGTGTGTGTGTGTGTGTGTGTGTGTGTGTGTGTGTGTGTGTGTGTGTGTGTGTGTGTGTGTGTGTGTGTGTGTGTGTGTGTGTGTGTGTGTGTGTGTGTGTGTGTGTGTGTGTGTGTGTGTGTGTGTGTGTGTGTGTGTGTGTGTGTGTGTGTGTGTGTGTGTGTGTGTGTGTGTGTGTGTGTGTGTGTGTGTGTGTGTGTGTGTGTGTGTTGTGTGTGTGTGTGTGTGTGTGTGTGTGTGTGTGTGTGTGTGTGTGTGTGTGTGTCTGTGTCTGTGTCTGTGTCTGTGTCTGTGTCTGTGTCTGTGTGTGTGTGTGTTTGTTTGCTTGCTTGCTTGCTTGCTTGCTTGCTTGTTTGTTTGTTTGTTTGTTTGTGAGTGTTTGTTTGTGTGTGTGTTTGTGTTTGTGTGTGTGTCTGTGTGTGTTTTTGAGTGTGCTTGTGTTGTTTGTCTGTGTGTGTGTGTGTTCGTGTGTGTGTGTGTGCGTGTGTGTGTGTGTGTGCGTTTGTGTGTGTTTGTGTTTATGTGTGTGTGCCTGTGTGTGTGTGGTTGTGTGTGTGTTAGTGTGTTCGTGTATTTGTGTGTTTGTGTTGCTTGCGTATTTGTGCTTGTGTGTTTGTGTGTGTGTGCTTGTTTGTGTGTGCTTGTGTGTGTTTGTGTGTGTTTGTGTGCGTGTCTGTGTGTTTGTGTGTTTGTGTGTTTGTGTGTTTGTGTGTTTGTGTGTTTGTGTGTGTGTGTGTTGCGTGTTTGTGTATTTGCGTGTTTGTGTAGTTGTGTGTTTGTGTATTTGTGTGCTTGTGTGTTTGTGTTGAAGTCAATGCGGGAAGCCAGCGTCAAAGCTCCCGTCCCTCTCTCAATAGCTGCTTTTAAAACAGTATGATTGGAGTTTCCAATGCAAATTCTAAGTTGCCTAATACTAAGCCAATGCTAAACTCTTTAAACCAATACTAAACCAATGTTCACCTTGTCGCATTCCATTGGCTGCTTCAATGTTGGTCCATCTGAGTAATCAAAATCTGGAAATTCGGGTCGGACAAACCGCGCCAACGGGTCTGGCTTTCTTGAGGCCCTTTTCGTGTTGGTTCAAACCGAAAGGGGCACCCCAAAGGGCTTCTACAAACCGGATTCGTGGGCTACAAACCGGTTCTACAAAGGGCTTTATGTTGTGGGCCAACCGGATTAGTTACAAACAACCTACTAACTCAGCCACCGGATTCTCTGGCACTCAGCCACAAGGTCGCTGGAAAACGCTGCGCTTCCAAGTGCGGCCTACTCCTCCCCCCTTCGTCATTCCTTTTTTCCCTGAGCTGAGATGGGAATGATTTGTCAGGGTCAAGCAAAGGGGTGAAAATGTTCATATGTCATAATTCTCCCCATTGTGGCTTAGAACCGTCGCCACATCTACCACATGTAATTTGCCATCCAACTTCGCCCTGGTGACATTGTGCGGTTCACGATGAACAACTGCCACTAAAGCGGTCTACCAAAAGCCATGCAAAGAATAACTGCTCTTCACCCGCGGAATTGTTTGTGGCTCACTTGAGCGCCAGGAAAAACAAACCACTTTCCTTCTAGGTGGCTATGAAGATTTGCAAAGGCCTCACAACAACTCATGCGAAACATAGGTGTCCTTTTGGGGCAAATAGATGGCCCTGCTAGATGATTGAACCGCCAGGCAAACCAGGGCCTTCTGTTTTTTAAATCAAAGCAACCAAAAAAGGAGACCTATGATACGAAACCCTCTCGGTTTTGAACTCAGCTTGGCCAAAGGTACGGCTCCGCCCAAAAGCCGCGCCTCTTCATGGGCGTGATCACCGCCATAGGCCCCGACGTGACCTCGGGCAAAACATCTTTCAAAGGCGCGAGTCGAAGCCTCGGGTTCACAAAAAAAGAGACACAACAACTCCAAAAGAAAGATAACCAAGTGACTGGCAGTGACTGGGAATGCCAGGGTGCAACCAAGTTTCGGGGTGACTGGCAGTGACTGGGTGAGTGGGGGAATACAGAAAACAAAACACAAGAAAGACGCGGTGGCATCCTCGGAACCCCCTGGAACGGAATCTCTGGAACCCTCCCTGAAAGCTGCCCCCAAATCATGCCTGAGCTTCTTTGGGCAGAGACCCCATAGCTTTCAGCTGTGGGGGGAACAAAGGGTATACAAAGTCGCTGGCACCCCATGAAGACTGCAATACAAGTGAAGCGAAAACAGCAATCCGAAAGGTTCCGTTCACATCCCACTGATTCCCATCCCTAGCTGCTTTGTCACTCAAAACACCCCTCCCATCACCTACAGAAACTCGCAACATCCCCACCATGTCACAAACGGAATTTCGCTGGTATCGCAGAAAGTGGCAACCCAAAACTCAGCGATGGATGCATCTGAGGCCGGCACAGGCATGGCCATGTGTCCGCTTCTGGGCCGCGCGGGCGGCAGTTTTCGGCAAGGCCAAAAGAGAAGCGGAACAAAGAAGCGTGCGGATGCCTCTCACTTCCCGAATGAATTGGCAACGGGTCCAATCTTCTGCCAAAGTCCTGGGTGAATTATCATTTCCTAGGTCGATAGGTCAAACATTTGTACTTTCAAAGGTCGATCTTAACAAAACTTACGTGGCACTGTGCCTCAACTGTAAAAGTGGTCTTCCCGAAAAGAAGTCGGTCAGTATAAGGCCCCGGGGTCCGGCCTCGGAACCGCGGACGGAAAACTGGCCGATCCACTCACTCGGGCTGCCCGGTTGAATGGTAGGGCGACTTGGAGCTTCGGCCGA